AGCTCTCATCTTCTCTGGTGAAGCCTCACTCTTTTTCTTTTTCCACCACTTTTCTTGTGACTGGATCCCAAGGCATATGGTCATTGCAGCTTGATATGGTAGGTCTATTAGTGGGTGAGAACTATTGCTAGCCCAAGTACCTGCTCTCCCCAAGAAGTTGGCATAGCAATTGACACTCTCTTGTAGCTCAAGATGCTCGCAAGGACCTTTTTTCTACACTAGTAGCTCTATTCATGCCCTTACATTATATTGATTGCTAATGCAATCTTTAGGTACAGATAACTTTCTATACTTAATTATCTATCTTTATTATAGGCATAGTTTAAGTCTGTATTTAGTATTATAGAATCTGCTTTACTTTGGCTACACATGCCATGATATAAGGATTCATATGTCTAATCTCAATTTCAATTATTTTAATACAATTTCTATTTCCTATTAAAAAAAAAAGGAGTTGTGTTATGCAATTTAATTTACGAGTGCAATTTTTCTAACTCAACATGGGGAATGTAGTTTGTTACTTTATGCATGCATGGTAGACTTTGAGCATTTTTTGCCTCTATATAGATTGTTGGAAAAATTAGAAACATCTTTCTTTAAAAAAAAAAAAAAAAAATTACGTTGACATAACTTTAGCTTTTACCACCTAACTATTTAATTCCTTCCAAGAAACCCACCAAGAATTATCTCCCCTGTATATTTATTCTCTCTACACATTTCTTTCATTCCAAACCTTAAAAAAAGCTCTAGATAAACCGAGCATATATAGTTTTCTAATACTTTTTGCTATATTGAAGCTACCATATACTAACGTTATTCCATTCCTTTTGAATGGTAAGACACACACAATTAAACAAAATCACAATACCAGGCATAACCATCAACATCTCATCCCCTTTCCTTGATATATTATGCCTGCCGACCCCGCTTCGAATGTGGATCATTTATTCGTATATATGTACTACAAGTTCTATACAGCTATATACCAATACACAAAACTTAAATTGTATAGTCCTTTTCTTTTAGCCTCCTCTAGAACACAAGTCGTCATCATCATCTTAATATTAACATAAAACAAAAACAAAGATTCCCTTCAATCCTCCACTTCCTCTTAGGTGAACATCTTTTGGACACTGTCTAACATCCATGCATCCTTAGGACACCCCCTCCCCTCCCAATTAGGCCCCACCTTGCCTTCATCCAAGTCCCTAACCCTCTATATATATACCCTGCCAGACCCATGTCTTTGTACTACTCCCCCAACTCTCTATATCCTACTAACTACTGCATTTTCTTCCTCACTACCTTCTCAACAAAAATGTCTGGTGTTTGGGAGTTCAAAGGGGGTGTCATTCGTAATGTTCCGGATCCGGAAGCTGAGTCATCGGATAGACGCTGGAGGGGGTCCCCTGCCCGAGGGAAGGTGCTGGTACACACTCCTACTAATGAAATCATCACCTCCTATGCTGTTCTTGAAAGCAAGCTGTCGCCTCTTGGTTGGGAGAGGTACTATGATGACCCTGACCTCTTTCAGTTCCACAAACGTTCTACTGTCCATTTGATCTCCCTCCCCAACGATTTTAACAAGTTGAAGCCCATGCACATGTATGACATCGTGGTCAAAAATCGTAACATGTTCGAAGTTAGGGACATGTAGTAAGGATAAGTATTATGAGTGTGCATGCCTGCGTGCGTGTTCTTTGTTGTTTAGTACTGTTTGGATTTGAGTTTAATTAAACAGGTCTTATTTACTAGTTTGGTGATTTTAGTATACATAAATATATGGGTTTCGTATTTTAAGTGGAGATGTGGTTGGGGTATAATATGAGACGTAGATATAAAGGAAGCCAATGTACTCGACTGCATGGGGTCATGCTTCTGTACGTAAATTGTAACAGTGATTGTGAAATGGAAATCTGGGTTTTCTTTTATTTATTTATTTATTTTATTTTATTAGTTATAAATGTGTTCTTGAGTCAACTTATGTACAATTCAAGACTGATTTGTACCTGATGTAATTAAAAGCATGTTGTTCATATTGGATTAATTAAGAAATTAAAAAAAAATACATTGTCACCGGTGTCTTAAAGAATTGGCATTTCTTTCTTTATTGTAATTTTCTTTTCTTTTTTTTTGGCATTTATAGGTCAGGGCATTTTTAAGTTAACTTTCATGCATTTTAAAACTAATATCTCCTCGGATAATCTTAAACATATACCTCTATATTGCCTTGATTTATTCCAAAAAAATTATAATTTCTTCAAGTACTCATCTCAAAATTTAAATTATGTACTTGGCATTTAAAACGACATCTACTTACCATTAGATTCAATTAGGGACAAAACTAGGAATTTATGTTAGGGGGGTAAATTTTTAAATTTTTTTTGATCATTTATCAATTTACATATATAATTTATACTAATTTTTAAATTAATCATAATTCTATGCACGTACCACTTATGCCATCCACGCTAAAATTTAAATTAATTAGGTATATTTAACTATTTGAATAATATATAATTTTAATATTATTAAATAAATAGTATAAAATATAGTTTATTTTCTTTGTAAGTTACACGTATCAAATTAATTTTAAATTTGGAACATATAATTTACATAAATAGAATGGATTCAATTGTTGGTTTAATAGAATATTAATTATACAAAAAAAAATTATATATAACCAATGTAAAATTTTATATAAATTATAATTAATATAATTAGATCTAAACTATTTTTTTATATTTGTGCTTACCTAGATAAAATTATTGTGTTTTTATAAGAATTAGTCACAAATGATCCCTTTAACTAAGTCATAAACATTTGTTTATATTTCAATGATCCCTACAATTCAAATTCAAACTTTAAAAATAAAATTTTGTAAAAAAATATTTGCACTATATTAAACATTTTTCAAAAGTTTAGGGGGCAGCTGCCCCCCGGTCCTTTGCCGGCTTCGTCTCTGGATCCAATCCTTGAGGTTTTTCTTTATTGTGGTTAATAAACCCATTTTCCTTGGACTCGTGGGCTGACAACGCTGCCGTTCAAGATGATGACGTGGAGACTGGTACGAGAAGTAATTAATTTTAATTACTTATAGTTTATGGTATGTACGTAATTTCTCGTAGGAGAGAATGGTGTTAATGTGCACGATTTCGATCGACCTCTTTCCTTGTGTATATGGTTAACCGAGGTATTCCAATCCTTACAATAATCAACAAGAAATGAAAACACTTAGAGCAGTTGTAACAGAATCGATGGCCATGGCAAAATTAAAAAGAAATATGCAGTTGCTTAGCAAAAGGGAGAGCTTAGGGAGTGTTGGGAATTGCTTAATTAGCAGCAATGTGATGCGGCGAAGTATCTCTTACCCAAGTGAACAGGTCTATCCAACAATGAAATGATCCAGTCTTTCTCTGCCTCTCTCTTTCTGTATGGTGTTTGGATGACTGGAAAGGACAGCAACGTTAGCTTTATCGTAAATGATGTTCAAAATTAGAGTAGACAAAATATTATGTTCACTTAAGTACATAACAAACTTTATCAATCACAATACTTGCAAAATAAGAGTAAGTCTTCAATCTGGTTAAATGCAAACCATTATTCTTGTTAGAATTTGGAAATTTAAAGAGAATTATATAAATGTTAATGAGTTTTGAAAAACCAATAAAACATCTATATTAATTTGTCCCCTTTTTGAATCTTTCTGGGACATGATTTGTCCAATCATTGTCGGAACAAAAACAATTGGGGCAAAATTAGATAAACCCTTGTTTAATCAACCTTCCAGCCAAGAATTGTGTTGCAATAACGTAAGAAAGCCAACATTTTCCCAAAGATATGGAAGCAGAGAGTGTGAAGGAATCCTAAATTCTGGCTAAGAGAGGAGCAAAGTTATGTGCTCCCAAAAAATCTAGGAACATCTCTTTTTATTTTTAAGACAGAACAGGAGTGCTTCTAGCACTATAAACTCATGTGGATGAGGCCAACTACTACAAACACTTCTCTATATTAAGAGGAGAAAAAACAAAATCTAAAAAAGGTTTAGAAACTTTTCTAGATTTGGTTATTGTGCTCAGTTGAAGCCCACTCCTGCTTTGAATGGGCTGAAATGCACTTTACATTAAGTGGTCACTTCTTTTTTTTAGCATAGGAAATGAAGTCATAATAGGAGGGAGGGGAGAAAGGCTGCTCTCCTTTGATCCTATCCACAAAGGATATGGGGAAAGAGAGATCTTGGTTTGTCTTTTCTTGAGTTTTGATGACCAAAGAGCATTTGTACTCTTGCCAGTTAATATCCCAATGCCATGTACTTTAGCCTTCTTAGCCCCCATTTCCTCTCTCATTTTCAAAGAAAAGAAAATGAGAGAAGTAGAAGATGAAATGCGATCTTGATGTCATGATCCATGTTTTTCTTCTTAATTAGTTGGTAATTTTCATCAAAATATGGTGTTTAAGTTGTTTCCAATGATACTAAGGAATGGATAAATTGTTTAATGATAAAAGATAAGTTGAGATTTAAAAAGTTTCAGGTTCAAATCTCTCCATTCTAAAATGAGTATATAATGGTTACAAAATTAATTAATATAATTGAGCTAAATGGTTTCAATAATAGTCTTATTCTTGTCATTGAAATTGAACTTTATTATCATTTGGCATCACAATCTCTTAATTAGGAGTAATGACAAGTTATCTTATTTTTAAACACTAATCTAAAAAAAGTCTTTTAGAAATACAAATTCTTAATCATCTAAGTAGATGCCTTGAAAAGAAATGAATTTAGTCTTCTTCTTCTCCTTTTTCTTGTAAGAATCCATAAAATCTACTAAAGAATCATTAGTTAAAAGGGGGAATAACCTTGCAGCATTTTCAAGCCATGTTTCTCTAATAGATAAAAGTTCCTTAGCTTACCATCTTTCTTCATTTCAACATGTTGTGGAAAAACAAAGTATTGGTGAAGAAATATTCTGCCAGCGCCCACCTTGATTTCATGGGATTATTTTCGATTTCAGTCAGCTGGACATACAGATTTGGTAGGGAGAAAGTAAGTGAAACTTCTAAAAAGGAAAAAAAAGGTGTTATTCGGTAGGCAAGCCATGACTTGTGATATGCTTCTAAAGTAATAAACTAAGGATTAATTAGGGACCCTTTACTGCCTTTTTATTGCTGGCATTCCTATCATTGTCTATCTTTGAAGTCATTGTTATCAACTCGGAGATGAGAAGATGGAACTTTGATCAGAAAAAGAATTTCAAAACAAATTTCTATGGGAGGAAGGGACCATTTCCCATTCGGCCTTGTTGGCTCTCTATATAGCTTCACAGGTTGGTCATGACATATGTATAATAACTTCAGTCTCCTCTGCTGGCCCCCAACTCATCATCCACCTTGTACTTGGTCAAGACTCAAGAAATCTGATATGTATAATACCAGTCTTCATAACTCAAGGGGCATGAATATTGAACATGAAGAGAAAAAAATTAAGAAAGCTTATTACTTAATGTGTTCTACAAAAAGAGGGTTCAAATTCTTTTGAAGAGGAAAATTGGTAGAATCAATGTGATACTTTGATCTTATCACTTTAGGGAAGGGAGAAAGAAAGAGCACAAGTGTTATATGTGAAACAAATTTACTTATTACTAACAAAGAGAATATTATCTTTTTAATATATCTACACAAAAAAGGTACGTGTAAATATTAAAAAAATTAAAATACCTTTAATAAAACTTCTTTTTATATATATTTATTAGTGGTATTTTGAGGATATCAACACTCGAAGTGCACTTTTGTATAATCCATTCTAAAAAACACTAATCTTTACTAACAATAAAACTAAAACAGATCTTAATTGTGTTTCCCCTAGAAAAAAAAAATAATACATACTTCTCACATTTGCAATCTAACATCGAAATTACCGAAATATCTTTAATAAGTAAACCTAAAAAAGTCTCATTATGGGTAATTTGATAAATCATAACACGCACTATACTTTTTTTAGCAAATTTATACATCAAAAAAGAGTGAAGGATACATACAGTTTAGAAACACATGGGACAGTTTCTCTTTCTCTTGGGGTGTCTCTGTATTCGTGTTTACAAAAGAGTACTTAACTGCTGTATTACAAAAAAATTTTAGAGCTCCATGACCTTAAGAATTGCTAGTTGGTGCAATCAAATCCATGACATATAGAGGGCCAGATTATTAGGACTATAGCGTTAACAAGATTCCAAGAACAACCAACTTAATCTTCATGTTTTGATATCAGATCTTCCTGCGAACTTGTGTCCCTTGTTTCCTGCATTCTTGGGCCCAAAAGAATGCAAGGAACTTTAATGAGTATTTAGCAGTGACAAATGCAGACCATCATAAGTAGAGCATGTCCTGGCTAGGTTTACCTTGTTTCGTAAGTTCTGTGTCTTGTCAGCTAGAGTCGTCCGGTTTTCGACCCTCTCAAGAGCCTGAAGGGCAGAACATACAATATTGGGTTATACTTACTAGGATTGAACTGAACACAGGTGAAATAAGCTTGACTTATTTAAATGATGTTGAACATAGTAGCAAACACTACATTCTACTAACAGTACTGATGTGATTGGACAGCTGATATTATTTAGAAGTTTTATTAACTCTTCTGAGAATCATTTGTGCATACATCCAGAGACTTTCAATATACCAGAGATTACCAGTTACAAACTCTCACTTGTTAACATCCTTTCTGGGAAAAGTAAACCTCAGTGACAAATAAGCTCGGCAGGTATTATGACATAACAACATAGATCAACTACAGATCCTCTTCTTAAATGCCTGAAACTATATCTGGACCACCAATCACTGTTTCTCAAATGATAAACACTTATATGCCCCTTTCTAAGATCAATTTCTAAATGTTGAAGTCTTATCCCAAGTACATAGGAAAGAAAACATCTTGCAAAAAGTGAGTCAGACTCCTAACCCTTGCATTAGATTAATAGGCTATTCTCTATTATGGGCAGCATTTTTGGCATTCCTTTAATAGAGCACGTTTTGCATATTTGTAGTTTTTGTAAAAGTGTTGTTTGAGCATAAATTTGTGGATGTGGTAAATCATTAATTCTCATAAAAAAATTTTAAAAATTGATTAAAAAAATTTATCAAATTCAAAAGTTTAACAACAAAAGCTCTAGTTCAGAAGCTAGAAACCTATAGCTTCAGCTTCTAGCTTTAATTAAGCTGAAAAACAACTTTTAGAAAGCATATTTCAAAAATTGCATTTGGCCATTAGGTTTCGCAACAGAGAAGACTTTTTCGAAAGCTGTGCTAAACATATACTCTCTTGCACACACAACCAGAAAAGAGACGAGGTTGGTAGTCAGCAGGAAAACTAACACAAGAATTTGCCATAATTACTCAGGACTCGATTAAACTGCACATATAAATATACAGAAGCAGGAAGCAGAGGAATGCACAAGCTCAACAAACAGAAATAGTAAAACGAATTTACCTTGTCAATGTTCTCCAACATTATACTTTTAACTTCTGAAACTTGGGCCTTCACTTTCAATAGCTTTTCAATCTCTTCAGCATGTTCAATAATGTACTTCATGTGTTCTTTCATACTTGGCCTGCATATTATGTTCTTCTACATTTTAATTAAGCTGCAAAATTTTAATTTGAAGAACTAAAGGAATCAAACCCAACAGTATCCGCTTTTGGCAGTAGCAGTATCCGCTTTTCCACCCCCATATATTTTCTTATAAAAGTCTGCCTTCATGCGTTCCAAAAATGCAATAGAGATTTGCTTCCCAACAGTATCTTTGGCAACAACACAGTAAGCTGCATATGGCAAAGAACAGTCAAATTTAAGCACCACAATAAACATTTCGTCCTTTGGTCAAGCACCAGGATAGAGTTGAGTAAATATCTATAACAATTTGTATCACTAGCCCACTTGGTCTGACTTCACTCTTTTTATCCTACAAATACTAGAACCATGAGTATTATGGCCAGAGTCCAGCTGTAACAGGTTTCAATTTAAAGAGGCATGTAGAATATTCTCTTTCTGACATGCAACAGCCACACCGGTGGATGCTCAACAGCATCTAGGTAATTTTCAGTCATTCAGTCAAAAAAACATATAGAGAACTCAATACAATCACAGCAAGGTAACCGCCAGCAGCATTGAGCAATCAGCATACCACCCCAAATGCCAATGATGCTGCAATTACAGGTTTGCCGAGGAATACTACCATTACATGGCATCTACCAAATGCAGACTATTTGAATTAATAAACACAGCGCAATAGATAAGGCAAGCATGTCTTAACACTCTTTTCAAGTTGACATTTAACAATTATTGGTTGTCTTTTCCACAGACTTTTTGCATCACAAGGACATGGAGAACATTGAATGACTGAAAAGATTACCACAACAAGCCTAGCATTAATATTGTATGAGAAAAGTAAAAATGAGAATGTGTAGACATTTAAAATGTTAAGATGACCTACAAAATTATTTAAATTCTCTTAATAAATCTTTTTTATGTATTGATTCATTAAGGATAGTTAAGTATTTTCATCGTTATTCTTAATATTTTAATTACCAATAAGTTCTAATTTTTCACAACCTATGTAGCATATGCCTGTTAGTATATTTTTCCAATTTGCATCATTCCCTGTGAGCAAAACTTTTGATCAAAAACATTCATTTATGTGATTGGACAAGAAAGATGCATCTCCCTGCT